ATTAATAATCTCCTCTGTATCGAACAGGTTGATAAAGCGCAGTAGCGGCGGCATGATCATCATCATCATCATCATCATCATCATCATCATCATCAGCAGCAGCAGCAGCAGCAGCAGCAGCAACCACAATCGCAACTACAACTACAACACCAGAATAAGACAGCGCCACAGCTATTATTCAGGGAGGACAAAGTAAGGGAGACTGGACTGCTTCACATGTTTAGGAGGCAGTGGCACTGGAGAAAAGCTTTCTTGGGGTCGCACATAGGCGCAACTAAGACATGACGGACACCATTGTTCCTTTAACCCGTCGGCCACTCACACAACAACATCAAACACCACAAAAAAAACAAAACAACAACAGCAAAGAGAATATCCACTCCATAAAAATATGTAAGACATTTTGAATCAACCAGAAAACTATAATACGGGCAGCCACTGAAATTGTAATCTGCTTTGCTTTCTGCGCTTCGTTCGTTCATTTTGCAGCTCTCAAATACCACCATGACGTGTCAGATCTGAGGCAGACATCGGCGATCCTGATTTCTCTGCCTGGGTGCTCTAAAAGAAACCCCCCCAAAACCAAATTACGCTAAATCAGAATTACCAAGTTCTATCTGACATTTTTGGCCATTTCGAATTACTAAGACCATGAGGTCAGAAACAAAATGCTCTATCTGCTCTATCAAAAATCATAAGATTATTCACAGTCGTTATAAAGATATTCAAAGATTTGCATTCGAAAACGCTTGACATGTCGTGAAACTGAAACATTTTTTAACGTCAAATTTATCAAAACTAGATACTGGGAAGATAGAACTTTGTAATTCTAAGGTAGCAAATTCTTTCCCCGTCACCCATCTGTTCAGGTTTTCAAAGAACGCTGCTCTTGGTCTACCCCTCACTCTTTTTGCCTTCGATTCTACCGGCGAGAGCAAGCTGTTCAAGTCTTTTATGTCAATTCAAGCATCACAGAAATTGCATGAATCTTCCCTATTGTTTGGCAACTTTCAGTACTCGCCATGTCGTGTTGTACTCACCATCATCATCCACTCCAAGAAGCGTCCCCTCTGAAAAAAAAAGTTAATGCATTGATCAGTGCGATGGATAAAATGAAGAGTTGGAATAGTGTT